AGAAAAAACAAACTAATGGTTATAAAGCAGTGGAAAAAAAAATGAGGCACTACAAAATTTGATTTTGAAGGTGACTTAAGGGTTGGTAAAACTGTCTTGAATATATTACTATATATTTTAAGCAAATGCTCCACGTTAAGATGTTGGAAAAAATAAAATGGATCAATAGAGTTCTTTTTTCCTCTCACAAACACATTTTGCTGGTAATTATTTCACAGTTAAAAAGTTGACAAGAAGATTAGTTTCCTCGTGGACACACGTAGAGTCTTCACACTTACAAAAAATCTTACAACTCAAGAAACTAGTGCACATTTTAACGAGTTTTTATCTGATCTTGTATATTTGTAGTACAAAATAAATCCTATTTATTCTAATGTTGGTGTTATGAATACTATTTTTCATTACAACTTGTTTCTAACTTAGTTCATGTAAGAGAAACAATTGACTGGTGACAAGAGGATTGGCTAAGGAAAATAGAATGAGGTGGGATCTAACAAATTAAAATGAGGATTGATCGATCCAAACCAAATCAAAATGAGGCCATGAGGTCCTAAACTCATCTATTATGCATGTTCTACAAGATAACAGTACTAGATTACTTAATTTGTATATATGTATAACATGATATATTTAGTAATTTCTCATCATATTTGAAAAGAAGAGGGATAAGTCAAACTGTAAAAGGAGGTCATAGGGCTAGAAACAGTGACATAGTGTAAAGGTGGAGGGAAAGGCATATCAATTAACCTTAGTGCTCTCAGTGCCAAATTAGTGTTACATCAATTATTGACCCCATGCCAGTCCTTTGAGTGGTAAACTAGTGTACTTTGTGTACATATCTATTATTAACTTGTTAATAAAAATGTATATGCATTGCCCATGCAAGGAAAAGGGAAAAGCATTGGAAATGAAACAGTACCTATTGCTACATAAGTTGCCGATCCTACTTATATGAGTGCTAAATTATTGTTTTCGTTTAGAAAAAGCCGTCAACATGTCCTACAAAATCAAGTGTCCTTAAATCATTGACCTTTTAGATCTTTTTGAGAAACTAATTTGATGATAAATTAATATTTTAAAGGACTAATTTAGTGATAAATTTTTTATGGACAAATATTGTAAAATTTAATATTTAAAGAACTGATTCAGTGACCCGCGTCTTTTAGAAGATTTATTTAATAACACTTCCATTGTTGGAGTTGAAGGTTTTCTCTTCTTATTAATTAGAAAATTTTAAGTAGACTATCAATAGAAAGTCCTGCATCTATAAAAGAAAAAGTTTTCCTTCATGTGACTGCTTTTAGCTTAAAATATATATTTGGGAATAAAATATGGGTTAAGGTTTGTTGAGTAACGCAGTTTGTTGAAAAATGAAAAGAGTGGACAAATATGAGTTGTTAAAGAAGAGGAAGAAGAATAAGATAAAAAGACAATGGCCAATAAAATAAAATGAATTTAGGAAACATCATATCCATATTATCTTATATAAATGAAGTCGTACGCCACATAATGAGAAAAATAGAGTAAATTAAAGAACTACTAATAAAAGGATCTCATGAGAATGAAAATGAATTTTTTAAAGAAATAGGGGATTAGTTGAAAATATCATAATATTTTTAGAGATAAAAATTTATTTAAGCCATAAGAAAATGAAAGTAATTAGAAGAGTTATACATACAAGACACTCTTTATAACACTTCTTGTTATTGGTGAACATTTTTTTGAAATTGAAAAATTATAATCGAGGCTCAATTAATGAGAAACGGATATCACATAATTTTACGGTTTTTAATAAGTTTTAACAAATAATAAATACATTTTAAAAAAATGTGTTAAGGAAATACATGTTACCGATGCTTTATAAGTTAAAATTATTGAAGAATACAGAAGAGAGAAAGGATTGTAGTGCCTAGATCTTGATGTCATAGATGATGTCACAAAATATTTTCTGTCTTACTATACATTACTGATATGTTATTTTATAGTTTTGTGTAACGTACACAGGACTTTTAAGAAATTGTAATTATCACGTCCATCCGTAAAGTGAATTCTACTAAACGTTAACTCTACTAGATATGCTATAAAATGGGATACTCATCTACAGCATATTATATATCTTGAAGTATTAACTGTATACTTTTTCATCTGAATACGTTCAGTCCATTTTATAGGTTCACCCATTACTCACGCCTTTTCGCTTGTAATCTCATTCCTTTAACGTCAATCTGTTTTATTGTTTTCTTCTAAAACCTGCCAGGCCTATTTCAATCTGACTGGTCTTTTCAACAAGAGTCAAATATTTAGAGAAATTTTTGCAAACTCTCATTTTAAAAGGGATACATCCAATCGAAGCATAAGTTAAATCAATGTTCGTATTTTAATATACCATTAATAAAATTTAAAAGGATGTTTTATTTCAGTACATAGGAGTGTCTTGAACAAGACCGAGAGTGAAATAAAAGAGCCACTGCAAAGCCATTTGGACAAGGCAGGTTAATGGCAAGGGAGTTAGATACTTTTTTTGGTCTTTATTTATAAAGTATATTCTAAAAAATTTTAGTTTTTTTTTTAGGTATTTTGTAGTTTTATGAAACATTATTTTTAATTTATTCTTATTATATGAAGCTGATATGAAATTAAATTAAAACTATCACAGATAAATATTGATAGTAAAATTAATTTCAATGATATTAAATAGAAAGTAAAATTCTCTTGTTATAATTTTTTTAAAATTAAAAAATCAACTAATTTTAATTAATATTTTTTATTTCTGTAATTTAATTGCAGGTGCTTTATAAAAAAAATTAGATGGAGTAATTCATTACAGATTATTAGATTAATTTTCTGTTACTTCATTGTAAGAGAAGAAAATAAAAGGCATGCTTGATTCTGTTTTTATTTTTTTATTAAAAATATTTTACAAAATAGTTCTTAAAAATTATTTTACAATATCATAAAATACTTGTTTGAGAAAAGATAAAGAGGAAGGTGTCGTGACTTATTTGCACATTTCTCACTGTGAAACATTATAGCTTTGAAACATGGCTTATGTTTTAAGAAACTGTACCTCAAACTGGAGAAAAAGTCTTATCAATTTTTTACTTTTTTTCATTTTTCAAAAATCAAAATTCCTTTTAGAAACGGTAATCTAACAGCCCCAGAAATATTTTAATTGTCTCGCATCATTTGTTTTACATTCATAGCATTTTATACCTCTGTCACACATGACAAAATGCTGTGTAATGAAAAAGAGAGAGAGAGAGAGAGAGAGAAGCTAAACACTCTTTTCAAAAAATTTAAAGAGAGGTATAAAAAAAAGTGACCTGAAATAATGGATGTTAGGGGGAAAAAAGTTAAGAGAAGAGAATCTATAGGTGAGGATCCGAGCTTCATTGAAGCAGCTGTAAGTGTTAAGTAACGAATGGGTAAGGATCTCAATGTATGAGTCACTTGGCTGTAGACTTCGATCATGTTATGTTGGAGTGGCCGACCCACCACGTGAAGCACACTTATCACAGCACGTGCGAGTTTTGGTGAAATTGAATTTTGCACATAAAACATGTGACTGAATAGAACGAGTGGCTGAAAGATGGCGTGAGTTCCCTTTCGTATCGCATAGGCACAAAGTGAAAGCTTACAAGCAATTGTCCTTGTTTCCTTAATAAGACATGGCACATTCCCAGGACGAGTCTCTTAGTCACCCTCTCTCCCCTCTTTCTCCGAATAAGTGTTGCGAGCTAAACTAAAGTTCAAGTTTGGTACACCATCAATGCTCTTACTCCTATTTCCTCACTCGCCTAACTTGGTGCTCGCAACATGACAAACTCTTTCAGTTACAATTACGTCATAGCTTATGCATTCCAACAATGCCATGATCAAAACCTTCACTCTCGATTTGTTAAACGGGAACTAGTATTACCAATTAAATAAAGGTTCGAAGGATACACTAGCCCACAGTTAACACAAAATGATCGATAATGATGGTGATGGCTTTTCTACAATAAGATAAAATAGTAATATTGATGTTTTCAATTCTTAATCACAAATATGCGGTGATGGGATGAATTTATGTGGCACATGCGAAAACATGACTGCATCCATGGACAAGAGTTAGGTTTCCGTCGGTCTTTAATGCTGCATGGCCATGCACAACAATGGGTAATATGATAAAGATAGGGGAATTGTTAACAAACATAGCTATGGTTGCTGTTATGTTGCGACGTGTCAAAACTTTGTGGCTTTAGTTAGGTGATGTATGTATAGCGACTTTTCTTTTTCCAAAATGTAAATGCAAGTTGATGTCCATACATGCCTGGCTGTCTTTCCGTTTATAAGAAGGTGAGTTTGACACTACTATCTGACTTTCCTAGACACATCTTATACGTTGTTTCATTTTCTACAAGGGCAAACTACATGTTAATATTTTGAAGTTTAATGAAAAGCAGAAGAAAACTAATTTACCGACATGAGGAATATGATGTTCGTAACCACCTGTTTACAGATGTTAGGTCTATACCTGTTATAAGCACATATATAATTTTTTTAAGTATTCTCTGAAATCTCTTTATCCCATAATTAAAAGTATTGATGCATATCTAAAATCGTTGGTTGGGATCGAGACAAACATAATTTTCTGAAATCCATGTACGTTAAAACATAACAATCATTGAGATAATAATAGGATTTACTATAATAAGCAAGCAAGCCTGCCACTGGAAATATATTAAAATTGCAAAGTCTTTGGTTCTCAACCATATCTTTCATAATCCACATACCATCTGATTGGATATAACAGCATGCTGATATAGTTTAATTAAGAGCACGTATATTACGGTACATAACTAATTTAGTTCTTAAATATTCATGGTACGGGAAACACCAAATATCGAACTACTTATATAAACAAACCTAACAATATGTTTAAGCCAGAGACACTCCAGCTTTATGGAACTTAATAACATAGGTTTATATATGTTGTGCACTTAAATATACATATAGGTTTAATCCCCGTTTAGTAATTGCATTGACCAGATATCCTCCATGGTCCAATAGTTGTTGTCAGTGGCACAACAATTGGATTGTTCAGGGATTGTGGGAAACTGAGTTGAAAATGGCTCTAACATTCCTTGGTAACAGGGTGGAGAGTAGGTCTCCATGGTCTCAGCCATGGTGGACACTTGGCTAGTGCATGCTTGATGATCATTTGTCTCAGAATTACTCTGCTGTTGGAAGTTCTCAGCTTGCTTGATATGCTTCTGGATCCTTGTTCTCCAATAGTTTTTAATCTCATTATCAGTTCTTCCGGGTAGATGCTTGGCAATTTTGGACCACCTGCATTGTTGAATGGTTAATTTGTGAAAGACAGTGACACATAACGGAATAGTACTCTACCTAAACTCTTAAAATGAAACAGAAAATAGTGTAAAAAAATAATTATGTTTTAAGACTGCTTATGACGACTAACAGATTACTAATAATTTGTACTTTTCCATCAAACAATTGGATAAGTAAATTACTCCTACTGATATGCCAAAAAGCCAGATGTATAGATGCCTCGGCTATTGAAATGTGTGGTGGGAAAGAGTGTACACGAGTGTCCATGAGAGCAAGTAAGCTAAAACATTTGCGTAATTTCTTCAAAAAGAAACTATTAAGTTGAAATTTAATTAAAAGCTGCTAGTGACAGTCACATTTTATAATGATTTGCAAAAAAAGGGCAACACCTATATTAAATAGGGTTGTGTGTCTGATTGAGGTCATGTTCCATGGCTGAGAATCAATGTGACGTTATGTTGGACTCACACTTATAAAACGATCATTGTTGAGGTACGTAAGATGCTGAATTTCTATTGGTGTGTGGATATAATGCTTTTGTTTTGTAGCAGGGGCTCTCCAAGACAAGAAAATCAGATTTCTCAATGAATGCCTCAGGTAGAGAGTACGGTTCAATTCAAACATCTCCTGTTCTCTTTTCTATACATATATATTCCTTTTCATTTTGTTTTCTACATAATAACAGTTCAACTTTTCGCTCATACAATTACAAATTTCTAGCAAATTTTAAGCATGTCACCTTCATTTCTTCCTTTCTTGGAATTTGTCTCATAACTGTTTATTATCCATCTCTGTTTGTTTTCAGGAAAAGGCGCGTGACAAATATGTGCGTCATAAAAGTCATTTTATATATAACGAACGTAATATTTGAGATATTAGTTTGAAATAAATGTTTACTGTCTTTTGATCCCAATATTTGCTGACTTATTTTCTTGCCCTGAGAGGGAATTGGATACTGAGAAAGCTACATGAATATGCACTATGCAAATTTATATCAAAGGGAGGCTCTAAAATTTACAAGGACACCTGCCTTGTTAATGAGAGTCAAAAGTGTATGGTTTGAGCCTATTTTAACTCAAACTCTTAGAACTTTCTCTTTCATCGAACTAGAAAGCTATAAAGATGTGCCCACTTCTATGAGTTCAGCCTAAAGTGGAAGCTCCTTTTGTCCAACTTATTTTGTTCTCGTTCACAAAATGCCTTATAGAAATAGCCAATAGTAAACTAAAAGCCTTTAGAAACTGAAACAACTTTATAATTAGTAATACCAGTAATTACATTGTGAAACAACCTTTCCAAATTCGTTTATATACTTCTTATTTCTGATTTTTCATATATATTTGCAATGACATTTCTCTTCTTTTGTTGGTTAGAAGATCCATTCCATTCCCTAAATACAGTTGATATTTTACTTTATAAATAATTATTTCATTTTATGTACCAAGTCCATAAATTAAAGGGTATATTAAATATATTATCTTAATATTTTTAATTACTTAAAAAAACGTATTCAATAAGTTTTTTACTTTGGTTTTATTAATATTCCTGCTGCGTAGGATAAAAAACTAATTTCTGATTTATTTTCTTTTGAAATAAAACTATGCAAAAAATGGAATGATTTTGGAGTTTTTAATTAATCACTCTTATTCAACTCAAACGTCTATATATACTATATACATAATTCTTAAACTATATCTTAACATATTGTAAATCTAAAATCTTCCACACAGCCAACCTCAAATTTCCAGATGAAATATGGATTCTTAGAAATTAAAGTATAATTTGAATAAAAATTAATAGAAGTCTTGCATTCAACGAATTCATGAAAAATTTAGAAAGAGAAACAAAATTAAAAGACCAAAGCAAATAAAAAAGGAATTTTAGCTTTGATTTTTATTTGTTTATTGTGTTCTTGTTAGATCTAAATTACATTCCTTCTGCCCGCCATATATATGGATATCCATAACAAAACTACTTATGCTGCATCCTTATCATATCATGACTAGGAAAGTGAGAGAGACAAGGGGGAATTCAATGCAACATTACCCCTTTAAGAGAAAGCACTCCAATTCTAACGTATGGATGGAATCAGAAGCAATCATTTTGAAGGGTTTAAAAATTTATATATAGATTTTGTATGGGACATATTTGTGGCCATTAGCTCTACAAAGCCCCATGTGTTGCAACCTTACTCTTGGCTAGAATTCTCTCCCCTCAAATAGTCCTCCAAGAATATATTATGCCTCCAAAACCAAATACCACAAGTTAAAAGTGCAAATATTTTCTTTCATCCTTCAAAGATAGAGAAGGATTGACGATAATATTAATATATTTTTGGGTTAAGCATATATACATTGTATATATGTGTGTGTAGAGTAAAATTCTTTAACTATTTAGATATATACATATACAGTTATAATATCACCTGTTTCCCCACTTTGCATGAAGTTCAATGATCAAAAGTTGTTCCTCGGCAGTAATATTCCCTCTTCTAACATCAGGACGGAGGTAGTTCAGCCACCGGAGCCGGCAACTCTTTCCAGTACGTTTAAGACCTGTTAAAGCATGATGAAGGATTATTCTCTACCACCCTAGCTAGGGTTTAAGTTAGAAGAAGTTGAAGAAAATAATGACGATGAAGAGATCCAATATTGAAGAACAAAAAATATGTTTACCAGCAGCTTTGGCCAAAGAGTTCCAAACACCTTCCCCATGATTCGCGATATAGTTGATCAAGATCAAGTCTTCTTCCATTGTCCATGGCCCCTTTCTCACTTCGGGATCTTGAGACGTGTTGCACAGTTTCTTATCCATTATGTTGTATGAGAGAGAGAAGGGGGAGAAGGTTCGAGGGAAGAGAGATATTGAGATCTTAATAATGGGGGTTGAAGGGTTTAAATAGAGGGAAGAGGAATTGATTTGCTAATTGTAATGAAATTTTTCTATTAGGGATAACAAGAGGTTTTTAACGTACCTAACTATGTTTATCATGTTAACACACATGCATGCATGACAATGTTTTTGGTTTCCCTTGGAAAACTGATGCTTAAGAGAGAATAGTACTGTCATTACGTACTTAAGTCACGCACATGCACTCGAACATCCGGTTTCTGTGTAAATACATTACTCTCAAAAGTTGAAAATTAAGATATTTTAGAAATATGACGAGCCTCACTTGGGTTAATTATAAGGCACTTATGTGGTGTGGAAAAAATTCAAATGACTCAACTACTACAAAATGTTTACCGTGGTTTAGAATGTGCAATACAATTAAAATAATGCTCACAGTCGCAAACTAGCTAGATATTATTTTATCTGTCATGTGTTTGTTTCTCATCAGCTACTGTCAAAGTTGCGATTCATCAAATTTTGATTTTTACACCACTAATTTTCAATTTCATTCTTCACACCAATTTATTTCGTACATTTAAAATACTTTATTTCAATTAAACTGTGGTTGTAACCATAACATTCCATTTTTTAGTACTAAAATCATTTTTTTCGTATAAATATTAGAAAATAACTTTATGATAATATTTTCATGATATTTAGAGTTCTTAGACTAAAAAACTATATCACTCTAAAAATTAATTTTAAAATCCTAAAAAGAAGTTCAAATCAAATTTTTATAAACATTGCTTCACTTCTTTTAAAAAAAAAAATTTAACCGAAACTTATTCATAAAAGTTTCAAGACTTTTTCCAAGACATGAAACACTCTTAGAGTCTTAGTTGTATTTGAAACAATTTATTGGTTTAAAATAATTTTATGAACTACCAATATATCAAAATAAGAAACTTATATCTAATGTAACCGTAAAGAAACATACAAATCCAAATAAAGTTAATTTATGTTATTTTAGTTAATTAAGTAGTAAATAAATGTCGTGCATTACACGAATTTATTTTATTTTTATTAAATAAGTTTATTTTAAGATAAAAATATATAATTTAAATATTAAATATATAAATATAGTAAAAAATTATTATGAATCTTAAGAAAATACTTATAAATAAAAAAGTAAATTTTATATATATATATATATATATATATATATATTTTTGTAATACATATTATTAGTTATTTTAAAATAAAATATAATAAATATATACGAACATACTTAAAAAAAATTTAAAATTTTAAGAATATTAATGATGACATTAACAAATATTTTATTTACTACTTCAAAAGTATATTTTTCATAATTATGATGAATAACTTAATTTACAAAATTATGATATATAGTAAATTGATAATAATATAATACATATTTTAAATATTTTTTAATTTTAATTATTTATTAATATATAAAAATAAATAAAATTAAAATACTAGACTAAAAAGAACATGTTGATTAAGTAAAGCATTAATAAAGAAATTTTTTTATTAGTGTAATAATTTTATTAAAAATGATAATAATACTAATTTCAACATAAATACATAAAAAAAAATATATGATAATGCATGCAAATTAAAATTTATTAATTTTTTATTGTTATATAAAGAAATTTATTTACAAAAAATATGATAATATTATAACAGTACTGTAAAATTAAAATGTGTATAATTTAGTATTTTTTTGAGTTAATTGTATTAATTTAGAATATTTAATAGATTAAAAAATAATGAAATAAAATATATAATGTTTTATGATATTATAAAACTATTTGTTATTGTAAAATTTTAAAATAAATAATTATAACAATAATTTATTTAATATAATAAAAAATTTTAATCAGTTATGTTGCATGAAATTTGTATAAATATATCTATATTTTTATTAGTTAATTTCGTTTAAAAATAATTATAAATAAATAAAAATTATTTTTAATGTGACAAAAAAATAAAAATATAAAATAAAAATTTTGATTATATTTTAAAATAAATTATATAAAAAAATAAATATAACAATTACACTTAATTTATACGTGACTTTAAACATTCTAAATATTAATAATAATAATTTAATTATAAATTAATAAATATATTTATGTGCTATTTTTTCAGTTGATATAAATATAAAAAACAAAATTTTTAAAAATAAACTAAAGAGAATATAAAAATGAAAATAAACAGTAAAAAAAATTTATAAATAATGTAAATCTGTTATATTATTATTGTTATTAAATATTTTAAAATAAAAATAAAAATGCATAAATTATATATCAATGAGTAGAAATATAACAAAAAATATTTTTAATAAACAATAAATTTTAGTATTACACTCAAGATCCATTCGATTAATGTCTAATGGATAAAATTATGTATAAATTTATTAATTTATGATTTTAAAATAATATTTTTAAATTTGACTTATAATAAGTAAATGTGTATTAATAATTAATAATTTTAATTTAAAATAATTTTTTAAATTTTAAGTAATTATTAATTTTAAAAATATAAAATTATAAGTAATTATATTAATACAAAAATATATATTCATCTTCCTTTATATTTTAGGTATAATTTAGTTTATAACTAAAGAATGAATTGCAAGTTCATTATTGAATACTAGCAAAAAAAAAAAAAAGTATTCAAAATTTAATTCTAATCTCAAAATTTTTTTTAATAATCACATAATTAAAATATAAAATATTAATAAATAAATATAATTTAAAATATTAATATTAACAATATTAAAAAATATTATTAATAAATAATTCATGTCTTTATTTAATTATAGATTTTTTCCATAACTATAAGAGAAATATTTGATGCATATCTGATTCACTATTAAAATAAATTATATATATAAAAAGTAAATATAACATTCAAACTTAATTTAAATTTAAAATATTATAATTTATTTATTTATGATAATATAAAAATGTTAAATATATAAATTCAACAATTACAATAAGATTTTTATAACAAATTTATATATTACATTTTTATTATGATAATATTGAATATTATTTAATTTATTTTAATTATTATAATTAATTAATTTTAATCCAAAATTTAAAGTCATAATCATTAATGTAATATTTAAAAACAAACAACAACACTCTTAAAATTTAATTAATAAATAATTTTTGTTAAACGATGAATAAAAAAGTTATAAGAGAATTTAAATTACCATATCACTATTTGATTTTGTCATAATCAAAATTTTATGTAAACTTTTTGAAATTCTCGTACTTAGAAAAAATTAAAAATCTTGTTATATTAATATTTTAATAGTATGTATGTAACATTCTTATTTTATTCAAAACAATAAAAACATAATTCTATCATTAAGGAGAAAAAATTTAATTAATTCATTTTGCTAGTCGAATACAACACGTGGAATTATAAAATATTTTGTTTATTTTGCTCAAACTTATAAAATTTAAATGATAAAGTAGTGGGAATCAAACCAATTGAAAGAAAATTTAAAATAACATTAATACATTGTTCTAATAAGTTTGTAAGGGGTTGACATTAGCAAAATATAGATCAAAATACATTAGAACTCATCTATATCATTTATATATAAAATACAAAATAAGAAAAGTCCTAATGAGCAGTCTATCCACCAAGGACCAAAGATGATGCTAGTCGTCATCCTCAAGCCATCCCCAAGACAATGCTAGAGATAAGTCCTCGTCTTCATCGAGGTCACCCTCGTCAGCTACCAGCTCAAGGCCCATGATTCTCTCGGTAGTGCAACGACTAGGTCTCCCATGCTGTTCATGGTCCAAAAAGGTGTACACGTAGTTCTATGCATTTGGTGGCCTGATCAAACCTCTATATATAATTACACAAACGGTATGGTAGATTCTACCACTGTCCAGATAATACAAAGATACATCGTATCCTGTAATCATTTCTAAAGTAAATGGCATAATCGCTGTCATTCCCTAGCTACTAGGTCTATTCTACTAGTAATGAGTAACTCGGACAGGCTAACAAGTCCTTGTGGGTCCGTCATCTGTATTCCTTGAAAAGTTATATAAGGATGAGTCTCTATTCTCATTACCAAGCATGCATTCACAATTAAGTCATTAATACAAACGAAGGCAATACAACAAACCATCATGCCACAAGATCATATTCATATAAAAGCAACAATCATCAACTACTCAGCTTATTGCATTCCCTCTTTATTAACACTTGGAATTCTCATTTCACACTTTCACTGCCCCTGGAATCCCTCAAGGTCTTTCTCAATATAGATAGTTGTTGGATAACCACAGCTACAACGTGTGTCGACCAGATCCCTTTTAGCAAAAGCGTGGTCAGGAGTTTAAGTCAGGAAACAAGTGTGAGGCCTGTAGTACTCGTACTTTCATTTGTTATACACAATTCAAGAAAAGCATCCACCATCCTCATTTTCTCAAGATTTCTCAATCGCCTCCATCTTCCACACCTTTAATGTACCTCTAAATTATCACTACGCCAGAATAAAGGTCTGACAGCGGTTCTATTTTAAATTAGAGAGCGTTTAGAACTGCTCTAAAATCTTGTGCTATCTAATGTGTTATATTTAAGAGAGCGGTTAAACAACTGCTCTTAAAAGTTAAGATTGGAGAATGGTTTCACGCGGAGCGCTCTCCAAAGTATAGGTGTAAGATTAAAGAGCGGTTCTCCAAAGTATAAATGTAGACCGCGAATCTGAAATTTGAAATTGGTTTCTTTTTTAGTTTTCTGTTGCAAAATAAAATTGATTTATTATTACGTTTAAATCAAAATTTGGAATTGATTTCTGTGTGAGTTTTCTTCAATTTTTATCACAAATCAAAATTAAATCTTGAGTTTATATGTTTGGTGTTAACCAAATAGTCCACATCTGCATGAACCAAACAGAAAAAAAAAAAAACAAATTAGTAGGA